AGGATACCGGCTCTCACTTCGGAGCTCCCACGTTCCCCTTGCCTGAGGGCTAACATCTCCGCTTCAGTACTCAAACAATAGGACCAAATTGGGGATTTTAGTCTGTCACCCTAAAATTTCCAATTCTACGCCCATCAAAGTATAATTCCTTATTTATTTGCATTCAACTCCCATGAACTTAAATATCCATAGAATCTGAATGTGGTTCTACTTTGTTGAGAATTACACAGCCCTATCGGGTCTTAACGCAATTCAACGGAATTTTAACGCTACAACAGGCCTTTATTGTAATGTAAATAAAGTGCAAGTAAAAATCATCACATTTATAATTAAATCCGCTTCTAACATGCATCAAAAAATCCTAAACATGAATTCTATTCATTTAACCAAAGCAAATCCACTAGATAAGTGTTTACAAAAATCAAAAGATAATGAAGAACATAATACTTAGTTTTTTTCTCTTTGAAAGAAAGATAAATATCTCTCCCACATAGTCTCCCGCCGATCCATGCAATGCTAGAACATCTCCTTACAAATTCTCTCAAAATCTCCTCTCCAATCTCTCCAAAAGGGTAGAAATCTACATTTCTACTCCTATTCTAAAAACTCTTAACTTTCTTCACACTTTTCCTAACATTCCTCTCACACAAAACCCTATTTTTTCAAACCTAAATTCATTCTTTTAAAGTGTAGGGATGAAGTTTGAAGAGTTGCCACAAGAACCCTTTCAAAAAGCGTTCAAATACGTTGAATTTTGGCCCATAACCGCCAAAAGTCGGTTCATAGTCGTCTCGGGCGCCGTCGGCGAGTTTTTCTGTCATTTTTTGGTCTTCTCGGGTAAATCTCGCCGTCGGAGCCGTTTTGGCGCCGTCGGCGAGCAGACTGCGCATCTCCACCGTTTGGCTCCGTTTGGCTCTGTTTTAGCTCCGTTTCGCCTCATTTCGGTTGTGTTGTGTTCCTAACAGATAGCCCTACAAAATAAGCATGAAAACAACCTTTCTTTAAAGTGTAATCTCATTCAAAAATATGCAAGAAGTGTAAAAGAGATTAAGCATCGAAAGACTTATCGAAAGGTGACAGTAAAATTTCATTTCTTGCTCGTTTTCGCTCTAAATTGCACGCTCTAAATTGCACCGTTTTTGCATCTTTTTGCTCTAATGACCATAATTAATCATACATGCAACAAAACATCAAAAATACCCTTCTTTAAAGTGCAATATCATAAAAAATAGTGTAAAATATATAAGAAAATCTCAACATATTTTTCTTTGGTCATTGAGGTGCTAAGGAACGTAGTGGTGGCAAGAGATAAGCCGCCAGCCAGGAAGACATGTTGCACCAAGGAGAAGCCAAAGATTGCCAAGTATGAGGGCAAACCAAAGAGGTCGTTTCGAAGGTGCAGGGGAAGCCGCAATGAGGGCATTGCGGGTTTAAGTGGGGGAGAATGTCACTCTCCGCCATATTCAAGAAATCATCAAGACGAGCACAAGATGGAAGATTCTTGAGAAGGTCAAAATATAAAGAGTCATCAAAGGGGCTCTAGAAGATTCCACCACATTCCAGGGAGAGCAAGAAAGAAAAACTCTAAAGAGAATTTAAGAATAACCTAGAATGTTCTAGTTATGTATGTATATAAGAATAGTCTAAGAGATAGAATATTATATTGTAATCTAGAAGCTTCTCTTGGACATGGAATAGTCCCACATTGGCTAGATGAAAGACCAAAGATATGGAGGAGGCTATAAATTAGAGCTCCTCCCCTCATTTGTAATCACCCAAGCATTGAATCAAAAACATTCAACTGCAAAGTATTCCTTTCTCTGTATTATTCTTCTTAAGAGTGCTTGGGGCTCATAAGTTCAGTGTTGTGAGGGGTAAGACTGATTTAGTGCTAAGAAAAAACGCTAAAGCTGCACGGGTGACTTGAGGAAAGTTAGTCCGTGACATCTTGCTCATTTACAACCCTTATACAAGAAAAATTATTACATGTTCACCGTACGCAGAAATGCTTACAGTGAACCAATTAAAATACTTCAAAATATTACTCATCAATCTTATATATATATATATATATTCTAAAAATTTTTTAATTGAATACCAGACCGAATAAGCGCTCCCTATACACACAAAACGAGGATCACTTCCCAATAATTATCATTAGCCAACATGCATCCAACTTATTCACCCCGACCAGGCTAAAAAGAGGATAATTACATACACATAAATGAAGATTTTTTTTAACTACCCGGATCAATGTATTTACGTGTGCCCCCATAAAATTATGGAGAAGGGCGATTGATTTATAAATAGCAAGTTTTGATGGTAAATGCCTCAAAAAGGAAAGAATTCGGGTACAAATTCTAAGCGATTCCAGCTTCCATCTACCGTGGGGCGTGCAAATCTCAGTCCACTATTCAGTCTGGATTCAGCGATTTCCCGATCTCTTTTCCTCCGGCTACTTATCTCTGCCGGTAGAGAATATTGGTGCTTGTGGCTCGTCTACTCTTTTGTTTCTGCTGAGGTATTCTAGGTTTGCCGTGATGGCAAGTCGCGTCGGTGGTTTACGCGGAGGTAGGGTGGTGGGGGACTACATGATCGGCCGGCAGATTGGTTCGGGATCTTTCTCGGTTGTATGGCTAGCGCGGCACCGTGTTACCGGTTTGGAGGTGGCGGTGAAAGAGATCATCATGGATAAGTTCGAAAAGAAGGTGCAAAAAAGCCTCCGTTCCGAGATCGAAATCCTCAAGCGCACTAAACACCCCAACATCATTGCATTGCTCGAAATGATTGAGGTATGCTGTCGTCCTTAGTGCATCTCTTTTTCGTGCTTATTAGAAGATAATTCGCGAGAATTTGCGTTCAAGTCAGTTTGAAACGCAGCTTTTAACCACCTGTGTGAAGCGGGAATATGATTGAGAAATCCGTGCTTGAGTAATTTGTGAAGTTCAGTGAAATGCCGCATGGCCTTTATTGGGACAGCCGTTGGAATTTTCGTGCTTAGTGGTTTTCTCCATAATCCATTTAATACAAAAACGTGGGAAATCATTTTGCATATAAGACCTAAAATTGATATTCATGTAAAGTTTGGTGCCTTGAATTTAGACCGAAGAACATAGAAAACAATTGTACGGATAACTCAATTCTAATCAACTTTGCTGAGAGGTGCGTTTGGTAGAAATGGTGCTGGTGATAGGGTTAACGCCATAGCTTGTAAGCATTGATTTTCAGTTTAAAATTTGATTAGTTAGTGGATTGTGATAGCAATTGAGTCCTCATTCAGATGGTTTAGATTTTTTTCAAGTGAAGAAAGCAAGAAAATATGGTTGATGCAAAAAAATCATGTTTTGAAATTTAAGGAGAAAAATGTCTTATTGCTGATTCATCAATAGGGTGCTTATATTATGTTTGTTGGCTTCGAAGTACTTGCAAAGTAAAGACATAGAAAATACTTTTTTGGTGTGCGGGCGTGTGCCTTTTACATGAAACAAATTTTTAGGTTATTCTCCACAACATTGCCATTGCCGGTCCCAAGCCCGAATTTGAAAAGTGGAGGGTTGCGATAGGTAGTTGACAACTAACGTAGAACTTATCGAAAAAAAATCATGACATAAAATTTGCCGACCCCACGTAGTGGGATTAAGACTTTGTTGTTGTTGTTGCTGTCTCCTCAAAACTGTGCAAAATAATTACAAAAGATTTGCTGCATTTATTACGTAGGTTTTAGTTTAATTTCAACACTTTACTTTATACCGAACAATATCACACTACATGTAGACACTTGAGTGAAAGCAAGTTCTTCAACGTAAATTAGTTCAATTTTTAATGCTATCTTGTGTTCTCAAATTCTGTACATGATTTTGTGCATTGTTTTCCTATTTCAGGCTTCTGATAGGATTTTTCTTATATTGGAATACTGTAAAGGTGGTGACCTAGCGGTGTATTTACATAAACAAGGAAAGGTTTCAGAAACAACAGCAAAACACTTTATGCAACAACTAGGTTTGATGAGCTCACTAATTGTACATGATAGTCTTTCCATTCTATAAGTTCCGTTCTAGCGTTGTTTTACATTTTTGTTTTCTTCTGTCTGTTTATCCTTACATTTTGTCTAACTATTCGAGCAGCTAGCGGCTTGTATTGTCTCTATGAAAATAATTTTGTTCATCGGGATTTGAAACCTCAGGTACGCAACATATTGGGAGTTATTAAACGTTCATTTTTCATTCAATGGAAATATTTTCTCCCAGTTGTGTGTGATGCATTATGTCATAGAGTATAATTTTCAACTGTGACTATATTGATGCCTGATATCATGGAGTCTAGAATTTTCTATTGTGAATATGTTCCGTTACATTGAAATCATGCACAATAATCATGCACAAATGATCAAATTTGCAATTCTGAAACCATCAATTTAAGTTTTTTTCTTTTTTTTTTGAAAATCTGAAAAACATAAATTGTGTACCACATGATGGTTTGATGATTGGTCGAATATAAATTTATTATAGAGATTCAAGATCAATAAAACAAACATTGTTCGCAAATTATATTACAATCATAGTTCCAAATTGTATGATTTGTGATCGAATTCAATTATGCATGGAACTTATAACTTAAATATGATGGAAGTGATCAAGGAAGAAATCACTGAAGTGTTAATTAAGGCCTCAATTTGGTTTAAAACACAAGGATGAAATAAAAACTTATTAAAAAGTCGTCCTTTACATTCCTATGTATTGCATATTTATCCTCATAGAATCTCCAATATCGACATCCTCGTCCTATCCATGGGTCCCAAATAAGGCATAAAAGGATTGTAGCAGACTACATTATTGATCTCATTATACAAGACTCTGGAATTCACACTTGCTACAAGAACCTACCTATCTCGAAGGAACTTGAGCCACTCTGGTTAGTATCAACATTCATGTACAAATACATCTGCAAGAAGGTTGCAATTACTGAGTTGAAGGACCCCAAATTGCACAAAGAGGGAACTAAAGGAATCCTTTTTTTAATTATTAAATAGTAAATAGCCATTGTTAATCAATTAGTAAACCGTTAAACTAAAAATCAACCACTAATAAACAGAATCAGACAAGGTGAAAACCAACACAATTGATTGGACACACTAGACTAAACTAGAGAAAATGAGAAGCTGTTCTTTACAGGGATTTGTCATAGGTATGCTTTCAATGAACACAATAGAAGTATAAAAAGGGTATAACATTTATTAAACTAAAATTAATGCTTAAAAGTATCAATGCTTTAGTGTCAACACACATGTTCTTTATACTTGTGTAAACTTGATATCAACATTAAATTTGTCTTGTTCGGAAAATTTTGGTTTCGGTAAATTAGGCATTTGATAGTCATTACTCACTTTGCATAACTTTATGTTTCATGTAGTAAAATTCATAAATTATTATTTGTAGGTTTATCACTTCAATGCACGACTGATCTCCAGTATCCACCATCAGTAGTGGACATAATATTGTCATTTAATATTCCTTCTGTATCAAGATGTGCATACATTTCTGGTAAAGTGTTGAATGTGAATTCTCAATGAAAAAAATCCAAGGCTTTTGTTGCTAGTTTATGAAATATGGTCAAATTTGATATATTGAAGATTTGACTAATATTTTTCCTTCTTACAATTTTAAAATTTTAAATATTCATCTCAACATGATGTATGATTTTTTATGACCTGCCTTTCTAGAATTTAATTTTTTGAAGGCTTGTGTAAGAAACATTGTAGGATTTAGATGTACCAACACTGCGTTTAATTCAACATATTTCATGCTCACATCACCAGAGACATAGTTTTTGTAGTAGCATTTACTGTTTTGTGAATATCTTCTTGCAAGCTATGCAATTGTTATGTGAATGATTGTGCAATTTCATTAGATTTAGATTCAATTAGAAGCTCTAAAAGATGTATATCTTCTTTACTTAAACTTTGTCAAGTGATCATGCATCATAGAGAAAACATAAAAAATATCCTGCAGACTAAATTAAATATCCTTTTTGTACATAAGAAAATTTCTAGGCTCACCGCACATCAAGCATTAAATTAAAACGAAATTCCATCACAGTTTTGCATCTAGGCTCACCGCACATCAAGCATTAAATTAAAACGGAATTCCATCACAGTTTTGCATTAGCCTTTTTACTGTCAATGTGAATAGTCTCATGTATTTATCAATTCCAACTTTCTATCATCTAAAAATCAAGATGAAATTGTAGCAGACGAAAGGTAATATCCATGTAAAATTATGTAGTAATGTTAAGTTGTGTTGTACATAAATGTAGTTAGTCTACTAAAGGAGATGAATGAGAAGCTCTACAGTTACATTCTCCAAGGTCATGAAATCATGGAAATGCATAAGGAATGGAAATTTCATCACGAGTTTCACGCAAGCAAATATTACTGTATAAATTTTAGAAAGAAACAATTTTTAAGCCAAAATTTTAGCTAAGAAATAGTTTTGATATGTAAATAGACTAATTGGATGCATGAGGTAAAGAAATTGATTCATGCTATATCAAAGATGTGTATCTTCTTAACAAATGACCAGTTACATACAATGCAATACTTAAATTCTAATAAAACCGCCATATACATACATTCAGCTCCCAATTTTCCATCTTTATAGGACATAGGCAATAAAACAAAGCTGCATAAAATCTCCAACTGATTTCACATTCCCCTTTAAAATATTGTTTCCGCTCCAAAAATAACTTCGAGCGCACTTAAAGATCTAGAAGGAAATCAAATAAACGAGGTGTATATTGATGAGACAGATCTAACCCTTGCACGCTTCTAATTGAACCTCCATTCGAAATTAGGACTGGGAGAACTGCCACCAGCAGCGCTGTTGCCTTCGCCTCCAGCTTCCTTGTTTCGTTCTTCCTGTCCGCTGCTCATCATGTTTCTGCCGAGAAAAAAACAACAGAATCGGTAAATTAGATCATTACGGATGCCTGTAATAATTGACGCTGGATTGAAGAAAATGAAGAACTTCCTTTAGTAGCCTGGTTCTCTTTTTCCCCACCCTCCCTCTCCTCCTCCCTCCTTCCTTCGTCACGGCTTAAGCGCATGCGAGTAATAAGCGGAGGAAAAAATGCAAGCTGCGGGGTCAAGCCTGTGATCGCATTTTTTAATAATCCTAAACTACTTATTTGGATAAGTTGAGCGAACACACTAAACAAATGACACAGATCGTTTTCAAAACACAACTGCACCAAATAAGCTGCCCCAAAAGGGGCCTTAATAGTTTAATAGACTCCTTTTTGTTAATTTAACCATTGAAAAAAACATGAGAAGATGAATTTGCACTTGCAGACTAAACCAAATATTGCTTTGTTTTAATTATGTTGTGCACATAATCTCTTTTCAGGTGCAATGCAGTAACATGATTTTCTTGTTTCATTTAGTATTAAATTGACTTAACATCGTTTTATTTTAGCTACTTCTTATTTCTTCATCTTTCTATCTTCATAAGGATATTCTTTTTATTTTGCCATTCTTTTTTTGTTGTGTGTATGTCTCTATTTCAAATCTTTTGTGATAGCCTCCAAAACTTTGTGCTATTATTAACCTTTTTCATTCTCTCTCTCTCTCTCTCTCTCTCTCTCCCTTTTCTCATGTGCTACATTTTTTTCTTATTTTCCTGACTACTTCCAAACATTGATATGGATGTGAAGTCATCTGTTCAATTGTGATACAAAACTCCGTATAAATTAGGGCAAATCAAATTGCTTTTTTTCAATAAGACAATCAACGCAACTGGAATGCATAAAAAAAACACCTACAATTTGAGAAATAGGCAATCACTCCCGAACCCTAACCCTAACACCTACAATTCGTGAGGTAGGCAATTTCTCCCATACCCTAAACTTAAAACCCAAGACCACAAACTCATGCATAAACCCCACCCTAAATATATTAACCCTTTTTATACTAAAAAAGAATAATTAATAAGAGACTAAATCACTTTGCACTGCCGCATGACAGTAGTCTCCTCCCAAAAAGAAACCTTGTTCAAAAGTTGGGGAAAAAAAGAAATTGTTGCTAGATCAAGTCGGGTGGTTCCCCTCATCAATTGACTTAAGTTTGGCTCTCGTCATCAGGACTTGATTGAAATGAGTGATGAGTCGTTGGCACAACCTAAAGACTGTGCCAAATCCATACCCTAAAACATCGGTCTATCTAATGTATGGTTGGTTGTAATCAGGTAATGTCAACATTGATACACTTGTAATGCCATTCTTTAACTTTTCAAAAGCTCTAGTCACTGCTTTCCCCCACTAAAAATTATCCTTTATTAGTTTCTCCTACAATAGCCACAATCGAATTACAATTCTTCATGAACTTCTGATAGTATCCTGTAAGTCTCAGAAATTTTCTCAACCCCTTTCAGGTCTTATGTAGTATCCACCCCAATATAGCTATCATCTTTGATTGATTTGCTAACACCAAGGTTTTACACAAACTAGAGTCACTGTGCGCAGCACCGCCTTCCTCTCCTCTACCCTAATCTCTATAGTCAAGAATTTCCAATCCACCATTTTCTCTCCGATTGTCTGTAGCCATTTCATCACCAAATTCACATATGTACTTCCAAAATCTAAGGGAAGGAAGTCCTCCACTACTTGTATGCTCTGTAGTGTCACCACTAATACCCTGAAAATTTTTTATTTTTTCTCCATCTTCCCTGCCCCCATCATAACCCCAAAACTTCTCATCTCTATCAACTTCCACCCCAATTGGTTCATGACCCTATTCAAGATGAAATTGTGAGTGTCCCTACTATCTACTGACACCACTACAGGCTTTCTTCTTGATCTGCCCCCTCACTTTTATGGTGTAATTTGAAGTAAATCTCACCATTAAGTTGAGGCACACCTTCGCAACATCAATGTGTAAGTGTTCCTCCCCCTCCACCCCTTCTTCCTCCAACTCTTCACTACCCACCTCCTCCCTATCACAAATTGTAAGGACCTGGAGCGTGCGATTTTGGCACCGGTGACGTGGTGCATACTTCTCATCACATTGAAAACACTCCCTTTTCTCTTTTTTCCTGCACCTCTACTTCCGTGAGGCACTTGAGGTTGATGGGCCTCAATATATCCTTCAATGCCTCTCTCTGAATTGACGTCGTCCGGGTCCTCAGTGTCAGT